AGGCTTGACAGTATAATGATTAAATGATATCATTATACTGTCAAGCCTCTCTTTGTGCTATTTATTTTACGCTTTTCTTAAATTAAATTTAATTAAAGTTTAGTTTATTTTGAATTGTACCATAACTCACTAATCGAAGCTGCACTATGCGAAATATTGCTGTAATATTATTTTTTTTCAATAATTAGTATACATTAAATGTTATTGCATTTATATATCTATTTTCAATATAATATGTAGTACCATTAATGAATCCTTTTGATCTATGCATATAAATAGTAATTGTAATAATAATATTTATCGCACATAAAATTATATAATGGGCTATTGCTCTCAGTATTACTGACCTGCAATTATAATATTTATTTACAATATATTGCATTTAATGAAAATGCAGTAGTTTAATAGATTTATGTGCATGTTTTATGTGACTAATATAACATTGTATTCCTTAAAATGTGTTACTTTAATTACATAAATCAGGATGATTGTGTTTTTTTTGAAGATGATTTACATATTTTTCATTGTTAACATGTTAATAACATATTCATGAACTTAAATTATTTAGTTATACAGTGGAACCTCGCTTAACGAGCGCCACGCATAACGAGAATTTCGCTTAACGAGTAAAATAAATAAGAAAAATGACTCGCTTAACAAGCGACGTCTCGCATAACGAGTGACGAGGAGAAGAGAAGTACATCCGGGACATCATTTTCAAAACTTCTTCATACAAATTATGTGTATTTTTGAATATATTAACCATTTTCGATTTTTTTTTGATCATCTTTGTTTATAACGGATTATATTTTGCAAATATAATTTGTGTTTGTTGTAAAATCACAACAAAAATGTATTGTGTCCAACCATTATTATAATATATAAAAAAAAACTATGGACGCTTTTTTATATAAACAAATATTAAAAATATAAAGAGACTCCAGATCGATACAAGCAATAAAAACAAATTGAGTCAGTTCCTGGTATTAGTAGTCATTCTAGTTGCATCTTAGTGTTGTTTGTGGTCACACATATTTCTAAACTTGACATGTTATTTTTGTTTAATTTTGTGCAAATTTTTTATAACTCTTGCATGTCTGCGAATAAAAAGACAAATAATAAAAATAACCATAGATATGAAAAGAACAATCAATAAAAAGCAAGACCAAGTTATATTTTTTTTCCGACATGGAACTCATTATCGTATTATTAGTTTATATGGAGAACATTGTTTGACTATACGAGTAAAAAATCGGAAATTTTGGAACGGATTATGCTCGTTAAGCGAGGTTCCACGATATAAATTTTAGATAAATTTCTGAATTTTATTAAAATTAAAAATTCAATTTTTGTTATTTTCTCTCTGCATTTTTATATCATACTTTAATATTCAAATGGTCTCTTTTCAATTGAAATTTTCAAAATAACACATGTATAGTGAATATCAGTGTTTTCACTTTTTATGTAAGTCTTATAAGCAACGTTCCACTTATTTTACTACCCAATTATACCGAAGTTCTAGAAATCTCCTTATCTTGCGCTTTGTCTTCTTTACTTGTATGCTTGTTATATTTTTACGACTACGCGAAATAGAATACCTTTTGTATTTCCAAATCAGATTATTTCCATCTTGATTATGTAATATAGTGAAAAAATAAATATAAAATAAATTACAGAAAATTGTAAATATTCATCAATTGTATTTTTTCTATATAATTTACCTATTTAAATTTTTAACATTTTAAGACAGGAACTTCTTTAATTTAGTGTTCATTATATTTGTCTTTGTTGATAACAAGGTTTTCTAATTGTTTCACTGAAAAAAAATAATAACTTCAATAAATGCATTCAATAAATTTGATGTTATTGTCTGCTTCTACTACAACTTCTGATCGAAAACGCTAAACTCCATTTAAATATTTCTTACTGACTTCTTTTCAAGAACTATCAATATTTTCGGACAAGCTAACTACATAGTTGCATAGTCGTGTAAATTATAGAAGTGTATTTTGTATATTTATTACTAACAAAAAAATAAGTAACATGCATAAGTAGACTTACGAACTAGTTCCGTTCCAAAGGGTTATTCGTAAGCCGCATTTCTTCGTAAGTCGGGGGAATTTGAAAAATTTTAAAATATCTTGCCACAAATATATTAAAATAAATAAATACTTTTCGGTGTAGACATCATAATTATTTAACAAAAAAAACAACAAAAGAAACAAATGCAACAAAACAGATAGTACATCTTCCAAAAATATTATATTTTATTAAAGAAATTATCAATTTTTGTTTGGGTTAGTTAGAGCTTTTAGAATTTTGTTCATAAATCCGGGAGTTCTTAAGTCGGAAGCTACCTGTATTGTATATGTAGGTATTATTTATAAAACTAAAAACACTACAAGAAAATTCATAATTCACATTTTTTAAGCATTTATATAAATTAAATGATCTCCCACGATGTTTAGGTTGAGTGATGTATATATTAGCTTAAGTTACAGTATTTCAGTTGTTAGTTTGTATATGTATAGTAATATTTGTACATTTGCTGCTTGTTTAATGTAGTGAGATTTTAACTATACAGAGGATAATTTGAAGATGCATATTCCATATTTAGTAAATTCAGTGTAATGGTATAAGCTATGTTATTACATTTTTAGATTCACCCCAACTTTGCACGTGTTAAGAATTATTAAATTGTGTTTATGTTCTCCGGATCTGAAATGATTCAATTAAAGGAATATTTTTGAAACATTTTAAAATTAAATTTTCAATATGGTTTTAAAATTTTACAATATTGTTTTTTGTTATCTTACCTGAGATATATTAAAGAAATGCCCTCTATAGGTAAATATTAATAATCCGTACAAGAATAGAATTATGTTAGATTTTGAAAATATTTATGTTTTTGAAACTTATCATAGTAAATTATCTTGTTATCTACAATCACACAAACCTTATATTATTGATATTGTCCAAGTAATAAATAATTATTATTTAGTCTTGTGTAATTAATTTATCATTAATGTTATTTTATAATTTGAGGATCAAAGAAGTTTAATATTAAATCTCACAACTTTGCGGACATTGCAAAAAATATTTTTTTTATTATAAACCATAAAATGTCACATACGCCTATATTCAAAATGTACATAAAATTATTAATGTGTTTTCCAAACATTTTATTTAGAAAGTGGTTTTCGTTTATTTAAGAATATAGTGTTTAATATAGTGTGAAATGATTATTTGATGAGCAATAAAAACACATCTTTAAAATTATATTTTTGAATGACCTGAATTATTATCTGCGAAAAGAATAAATATATGTATTTGTATTCTTGGCCAAAACATATTTTTCTTTTGGTTACATTTATAAAGATTATTACAATTTACAAAATAATTCTGCCCAAAATATTAGATTATTTATATCTTAAAATAAAAAAAATATTTTATTGTTTTGTTCCTGTTACAATATTACTAGAAATTTTACTTATTCTGCAAAACACATGTTGATTTATTTCAGGCATAATATCTTCAAGGTTAATTGCAAGATTATTAAACTTAGTTTACAGTGTTATGTTATAATGATAATTTTTAATAGATATTTTCTTTTTTGTCAAATCTCAGCAGTTTGTTTTGTCTGTAACTTTTATAAAATATACTGTATACATTTTAGCATTTCTCATATTTCTATTTTAGTTTATACTTATCTTATTTATATATAGTTATTAATCAAACTATAAATCTAAAATTATTTGAGTTATTATTATATCAAACATTTTTTTCACAAATAAAAAAAATATGCTTATTAACTTTTGTGTATTAATAACTATTTTATAAGATAAAATATAAAAGTTAAGTATGAATGTTATTATTTGGAAACGATATGAATGAGCAGCAATTCCAAACCTATGACTAATATATTACAATGTTTGATGGTTTAACTGTGGTCATGTTTTACATAGTTTTGTTAGCTCAGTTGATAAGATAAGACTGTTTTCACATTAAGAACATAGATTTTTCCTCAATTGATACTAGAAATTTAAACGACTAATGGATTCTCTGAAAATTTTAATAGACTGAATAAGAATAATATCCATCCAAGTCAGTGTTTCTCAACCCATAACAATATTATTTCTGAAAAATTATTATAAAAATATTTGCAAACGCAAATTTAATATAATTTAAAAAATATAAATCAAATTTGAGACTTTTGTATAAACTAATTTGAGAAAGAGGGAATATATAATAGTGAATCGATGAATCTGCAAAATATTTGCTTTCCTTTAGTAAAAATATATATTTGACAATCAAGAATTAATGTTTTTGCTGAAACAGATTCGTTAAATTGTTTATGGATTAAGTATTGTCTTATAATTGATTGTTGAAACTGCAAAATATTTCTAATATATTTGAAGCATCATTCTTAGCAGAATTCGTGTGCTTGAGTTACCGCATTCATCAGCGGATAACGAAGAATTTGAGGAACGCAAGGTGCTGTCGTTTATTTCTTCGAAATTTAAAAGGACGTATGGCTAATGTGTGAGAACCGAAAGCAAGAATGAAAGGCAGACGAGTAGTATTCTGTTCCAAAAGTAGTATAACAGGTATGCGGGTGGGGTTTGCGAGGGTAGTTGGCTGATGTTGAAGGAAGAGACAGAGGTATGCTCGAGCCCGTGTGTGTGCATGTATCTGCATTCGTAGTCGTGCGTGCGTCTGTGAGTATGTGTGTATATATATATATATGTATGTATGGAGTGGTGTGAACGTGTTGTAAACAGAACCAGCTGTTCCTGGCTCGCTGTCTTCGCGGAGTCCGGTTTCGTAGGTGCTCGTTGTTCAGCGCACTGGACTGCGCACGCACGGTACCACCACCACCACCAGCATCGTTGCTGCCACCACCATCATCATCGTCGCCACCTCCACCAGCGTTGCACCCGCCGCCGTCTCCCGCCGCCCCCGCTGCCACCACCGCCGCCGCCCGGAGCGGAAAATACGCGTCCGAGTTGTTCGATATTCGCCAGTGTGTTCCCAGAGTGCGCGGGCCGTGCTGCGAGTCGCTGGTTCGATCGGGTTGCCTTTGTCTCTCTCTCCCAACCGTCAGTCAGTCCTCGAAGTGCGAACGGTTTGAACGACGTCAGCGCAGAGTACATACACCTAGCATATACAATTGAAAACAATCCCGCAAGAACGGAACATGATGAATTTGGAAAGTATTGATGCGCTCCTCCAGGCCGCGGAATATTTGGAGAGGCGAGATAGAGGTGGGCGGAAAATGCGCGGAAACCACGCGAAAATATCTATTTATATACGTACATATACAACTATCCATCAGCTGATTTCTCACGTACTTAGTTCTATCAATTCTTTTCAAACTACTTATTAACCTTATTAACTTCCAAACCTCCTCAACCGCATCCCTCCGTTTAAAAGTACTTTCAATTTCTTTGTCTTATTATATTTTTTTTTGTTTTTTTATGTATTACCATCGCAGAGGCAGACCATGGTTATGCTTCAACTCTACCAATGCACGAGGATCTCAGAAACGCTACGAAAAGGCCAAAGACGAAAAAATCTCAGGGAAACAGGTGAGCAATATAATCAGTTCATCAAACGGTGCAGTTTTCGATTTGGAAAACGTGCGAACGTCGAAACAAATCGGAGATGTGCGTTTACGTTTTTGTGCGATTTTTTCTTGTTTGTTCATGTTGTTCCCCTTTGTTCGTTTCCTTCTTTCAATCGAGGTTCTCTCGCGCCTTCCGCTGCAAGCAAAATTGGATCAACGTAAAAATACACCACGTGCGGATCGCACTCATAATAAATATCGCCGCCACCGCCAAAAACAAAACCCATCTCCAATTGCCAATTGGTATTGTTATTTTCGTTGCCGGTTACTAATCGCTGCTTTCTTTTTTACTTACAGGACATCTCATAACGAATTGGAAAAGAATAGGTGAGTGAGCCGCAACGGCTGCTAGGATTACGCGCACACACACGTAAGCTCTCTACCCCTAAAACAAAAACGCACAAACACACAAACGCATAAATATTGGATTAAGTTTTTTTTCGATCATTGCGAAACGAAACAAATGATATTGAATACAAAAGAAAGAGAAGGAGCTTTCTAGTGGAGTGGAGCTAAATTAGTGTGTGCAGTGAGTGAGTGTGTGTATATGTGTGTGCCGAAGTTCGCATGAAGGTGACGCGGTGCAGTCTAGTGCAGTAAAACAAGGCCGAGCCTTGCTTGGCAACAGGCAATCATTTCGTTGCACAGTTACACTTTGTGCAAACGATCTTTTTTCTTCTTCTCTGCTGTCCACCCATTCCTCTTTCTGTCTTTCTGCCTATTTCGTTTGTTCGTCTGCCTGTCTCTGTTTTTTTTTTATCCATCTTCACGCAACACGCATTATTCTCGCCAATCGGTGGATGCACACGCCAGGAACATAAGAGTACGATAATGATATGCACGGGAACGAGCGCAACTGGAATTAGGATAATAAACCTCGATTAGAAAGGCTCCCTCCTTCCACCCTTCACTTCCCTTTCCCCCCTTTGCCAGATGATGATAATTACCACGCGCGGATTTGCGTAACCAACTCGCCTGACTGCGACCAATTCTGCGTCGCTGATTGATTAATGGGGAAGGCGCAGGGGTTGCCTTAATTAAGACAACTCTCTGTAACATCATAAACATAGGTAATGGCGATCGTTACGCAATCGATGCGAATTAGCTTCGGTCGCCGCCGTCGATTACGCAACAGCCGTGCGAATTTCGAGTTCATATATATACATATACGCACGTTTCCGGTCTTGCCATTTCTCTTTCGCAAATCACATTTTAATATCTCGAGATCATCTTCATTATCCATTATTTCAATCCAAATCAAACGATGACTGGACACTATTCATGTTACAATGAAACAATTATCTGTCATATTTTTTCAGTAACTCCATGTACATAACGCATATATTATAACGTATATACAAAATTCATAACATAAATATGATATTCATTAGTTTCTGAAGTTATTTTTTAATTTTGAATTAGGTTTTATCTGTTGTTTTAATACATTGGTTTGATGAACATGTCGGATGAAAGACATGCTTCTTTATGCTTATAAATCTTTCCTTTTTTAGTTTTTAACGATGAGTTGAAAATAAAATATTTGTCAATATTAATTATAAATTGAAAATATTTCTTTAAATTTTAATTAACTGAGGCAAATTTCATTTTGTTTTAATAAATTCTCAGTATTTTTCGAATTTTACTGACATATTACGAAAGTGTAGTAAAATAAGTTTTCACATAAAAAAATAAATTTTTAATGTGCCAACGAATAATTATTATTAATTTACAGACAAAAGATCAAAGTTTTTTTAAAGCGTCAGTTACATAATAGAACACAACAATTAACTAATAATTGCTTTAAAGCTGAACAGTTTTCATGTGAAATCGTTTAAACAATGTGTTGTTAAATATGTGAGGTCACAGTCACAGATGTGCTCTTATCATATTCATAAGCAGCTGTACTATTCCTGATTACGTGACAATTCTATTGCACAAACAGCATGCATCGGCTCTGATAACAGTTGTATGATTTTATTACTACGAAAATAAATATTATAGTCTAAATGTGGATAATATCGTACGATATTTTATATTATAAAATTTGCGTAAGCATTAAAAACAAAATGAATCGAAGAAGAAAAAAAAGTAGCAATTTATTTATGTAAAAGTTTATTGACTTGCAAAATGAATTGCGTCGGTAATAGAACAAATGGAAACAAGTACAAATAAAAAATGCGAAGGAAAGGCGTAGTTGAGCATTTCATATATTAATCATTGTGTCCATAAATCATTTTATTGTAAAAGGAAGGAAAAATAAAGTGAATTTTCCAAGTGAAAAAAAAAGCAAAATTATTCTAGGCTCTCGACTTGCCAACGGTTGCATCACGTTAGCTGTCGTACAATTTATATGCGTCCGCAAAGATTAAAAAAGCCGATTATATAATTTTAAAAACAAAATTACTTCTCTTTCTCTCTCTCTTCCGTTTATAAATTATTTTAGTGTCTACGTGATTATTGTTTTGTTCAATTTCATATATTTATCATTTATCGATTTATCATTGCAATGAACAAAAAAAAAAATGAATGCAATCGTTATCGAATCTGATATGAATCAGCTTGTTTTGTAATTAATTATGTTTGAGATTAAATGCATTAATAGATTGAAATATCGTTTGCAAAATGTTATTTTGCTTATTGAGTACACAGCTTGGTCAAGCAATTGAACTTTGGGATTTTATATCAGGAATGGTCAGTTACAACATGATTACATCATTTACTTAGAAAATATAAAGAATACGTATTTCTCACAAGGAAGTAAATATTGTTTTGTCATTTAATCAACGATAATTAAGCAATTACATTTAGTAATTAATAGTTAAACAACGTGCGTTGCGGATAGAACTTGAATGGGTAATCTTTAACCTTTGTTAACTATGACTGTTAAAAGTATGTATTTTTTCATATCTACTACTACGAAATTTACTATTTTTAGTAATTACTCATTTGTAAATGATAATTTATATTTTATAATAAAATAAAGAATTCTATTATTTTCACACAATTTGTGTTGTATGAAAAAAAAAACACATAACACACACTTATGTATTCGGAATGCTAAGTGCGATTGCATTAATTACCGTGTTTATTTCCGTTATCATTTTACAGTAATTATTTGAGTAATACTAAACGTCACTAGAGAACCGTTTTTGTTGTCTTTTTTTTCTTAGCATAAAGCATTACATTGTGATGTACGATTTCCTTAAATTAAACCATCAATTAAATGGAGTGAGGAATAATTTATAATTAATTGTAAATTTCAAAGCGTTGAATTAATGAAATGGTACTTCCGTTTGTAGAAGTTCCAAGAAACATCAACTTATGCAATTTTGAAGTATTTCAACTAAGATTGATACTACAGAGTACATTCTTAAACCTGTTTGACATATCATTTCCATCCGGCACATAAATATATACAAATATTTGTAGAAATATTGTTTTTGTATAGAAATTGGAAATGAAATTATAATTTAAAATTATTATAAAGCAATGCTGAACTGCTGTCGAACACGTATCATCCATTTTGTTTTCGTATTTGTATAATCGGTTTTCTTATCATAAAAACGAAATTTTAGATGATACTAACTTATTTTTCTTTAAAATAAGATTTATAAATATGAAATACATAAAGTAATTTAAATGTAGTTCTTTTAATTGAATTTTTAACATGTACTTCAATATCTCGTATAAGTCCGGTTTCCTTGAGCAAAATATAAATAAATTCTTAATAAAAAAATAGTACACAAAATTATTTTGTATTGTAACGTAATAGATATTTTTATTTGTACTTGAATGAAATTGTTTTGTTAGAAACTTTATTGAATCAATTTAATATAATAAACGGTTTTAGTTAATGCTTTTACAGAGATTAATGGTTTGAGGATTCACTGAACTAATTAGTGTTGGAATTTCATTTTACTCATTGGGAATTTCAAATGACATACAATCACCATTGCGTTATCAATTTTCGTTCGTTCCGTTTCGAGAAGTTTATAATTAAATGAAAATTAGGCGCGCTGCGAATTATAGAGATTTGTAATTATTAAATTTGTAGTAAATTGACGAAACAAATAAAACCAGTCCCGATGAGAACGTCGGTATGATATTACCAACAAGCTTCCGGCATTGTTCAAGTTAATTCATTTTTATAGGAAAACTACGGAGAATGAAATTAGTGGTTACTGTAGTAGAGAAAGAGTAAGAATATGGAATTTCCATTTTCTTGCTATTAACATAATTGTATTAATAGAATTCTACTATTTCTCAGAACGTTGCGATATGCCAGACGATTTTATGTTACAAAACATGACAAATTGTAAACATTGATATAAATTCAAAATATAATTTATGTAACATATATAAATTATGTATATTGATTTTAGTATATCAGCATTTAATAAAAAATCTTTATTGATTTCAAAGAAAATGATTTAACAGGGGAGAAAGACAGATGGTCAGTAGTTCTTTGCAGAAGTTGACTTAATTTTAGTTTTATTAAAATAATAATATTTATTGCAACAAATTGCCAAAATAAAAACTTAATGCAATAACACAGTAACAAAAATAAAACTCTATTGAGTTTTTATTTTATAATTTATTGTAGCATCAAATATTATTCTTATTTGGTATTTAACATTTTCAACTATTTTTCAGTTAAAAGTATTCTGTAATATATTGTACATTAATAATATTATGAAGATAAATAAACAAGCAATCATCAAATCTTTTTTTTAAGAAATTGGCTTATTTTGAAGTCAATAAAAATAGTTACGAAACATATCAACAGTAGCATATGTTAAATGTACTTGAAACGAATAAACTATAAGATAATATCTGAAGGATCGCGATTGCTTTTTTCGTCTCTGTAGTCTATTAAGTGGTTGGCTAGAAACTTTGTTTGCAGACCGAACGGATGCGATTTATAGACTTGCTGACTTTGTTTTCACATTACTTACAGCATCGCAATATGAACTGAATATATCATTTTACTATTTTATTGCTTAAATATTATAAATTATTATATTAATAACAAAAAAAAAACATTACAAGAAGCCTTGCAATATTATATGTACTTTAAACAAAAAAGGTTATAATCAAATTTGTAATTACTCAATAGGTTCTCAACCCAAGGTCTTTCCGCTGGAAATGTTGAACCATATGTAGAAATACATTTTGCATATTTTATATTCATATAATAATATATTATGTCTTTTTAAATTCGCATAAAGAAATCAAGTATTCAATTTATTTGGTTGATCTATACGAGAGGATGCTTTTTATGTGCGTTGTTAGATTCATTTAAATGAATTAAGAATTTAGTTGGTTTA